TAGAGATTTTTAATATCTTGGGGATGAATATCCATGCCTCTAAATGGTAAACTGCTTGAATGAATAAGTCAATCAAATTTACATTTTCTTAATCAAATGAAATCAATTTTTTCTTAATAATGAAATTTGAAAACCTTAAAATGTTTGTTTTGGGCTGATCTTCAAATAATGAAATTAAATAAGCAATAAAAGCAACTGAAACAATTTTGAAACCTTTTTTTTTTTTTCATAAAATCACATCTGGGTTTACCAACACATGTGCCAAGGCTCAACCCAGAGTGATAGATAACTAAGAAATTAAGCCCCCTAAAAGCAGAACTTGAATCAGAAGCTTAGAAAAATGTAACACCAGGGCCACCATACAATGGTTAACTGTGAACCTAAAGACTGAAGTATTTGGGGAGTTTGTTTCCGGTTTTGTTTTTTAAGTTATGTAGTTACATACTTCTTGGTGTACTCCACAGTAGGAAAAAAAAATTATGTTGGATTTATTTAAATTACATTAAAACATGGGTGTGTCACTTTCTATTTCAAATCCTGTCATGGAGGATTCTCCAGATTCATCACTTAAATTGCTATTGTGAAAATCAATATTGTTATAATACATTTGAAATACGGAAAGAAAACCAATGATCTGAAGAATTCTCAGTAATTCTCACTGAAAAGCACTTGCTAGGCTGGTCACTGGGCTGGCTTCAGAATTCCTTACAATTAAGTGTTCCTACTACTGCCTTCTTTTACACAAGGGAGGTTGCCAGCCAAACAGACATAACATGGAGGCCTGAAGTCTCAACTTCGACTTTGAGTCTATGACTTTGCCATGGAATGCACAAGTTATTAGGCAAACTATTGAAAATTGAACTTATAAAATAACTCGTTGAATTGTTTGATTCTGGAATTTCCTCTGTGGAAATTGTCAGTTGAGGTGACTTTCACATAGATTTGGTTTTTGGCTCACCTTCCTTCACTCTCGCCTTCTGCCCCCATAGAGGTAGCAGGTGCCCTTAGAGAAGGCCAAGCCCAGAGAATGCTATGACTGTGTGTGGCTCCTGAGACGTAGGAGTGCAGCTTTCCCTCAGCCTGAGAGGAGAGTAAGATCATGCTGAACAGTACGTGTGCCTCACATACGCCACTGGTGTGACCCACTAGCTACTTACCTGTATCATGTCTTTTCCCAGAAGCATCCCTTTTAATGTGACTACATTCTCCTCCCTCCTACACAAAGTCATGAAGGTAAAATTATTATCAATCTTAAAAACAGCTTATAGAAAAAAGGGAAATAATCTTACCATTTAAACATACACATGCAGGTAATAGAACCATCCGCAGCATATCACTATGAAGATGTGTGTAAAGGAATATTGGTGCTTTGTTCTACCAATCTTGTATCCTTAGGACCTAGCATGTACTTGGCTTCAGCTGTTTGTCAAAAGTAAGTGTGAAAGGTAGGACTAGAAAATTAGTTCTCTTGATTTTATCTTCTACAATATCACTGGCCTTCTCTGCCCAGCTGGAGATGAACTTGTCAACCTGAATTAGAGACATTTAAAAGGAATAGTTTTAAAAAGTTACTTAAAAAAATAGTACTGATGATATTTTTAAAAATAGTACTGCTGATAACAATAGCAGGTTCAACTTTATTAATGTTTTGAGCACTGTCCTACATACTTAGTACCTATATTTGATGCCTGTTAGGAAACATCATTTCTGTCCTTAACATAGTCTAATGGAGAAGGAAAAAATATTTTAGAACTCTGTCCTGCATGACAAACCAGAATGCAGTAAGGTCTTCAGTGACATTCTTTCTCTCTAACAAGGCCAAGATTGTTTTTTAAAAGTGGGGCAAGGGAGACTTCTATTCTGCCTTCCTTTGGTAACTGCTTCTTTGCACTTGATTGGACTGAAGATGTTGATAACTTCAAGAGCAGTGCCGTACTGTGTCCAGCAAGATGACATTATACACAGTGTGACTGTGTCAGGACTTTCACCTGTGTTGTGGTTTGGAAGATGTGGCACAGTTGTGTGATTCTGTGGTCACATAGCTAAAGACACTATCCGCTTCTCCCACCTTCTCTGCTGCTTCCAGAAATTCCAAGCGCACCAAAAATAAGGCTCTTCAGTGCTTACCAACATGATAGGTCAGTTTAGATGGGAGGTGACTTAATGTGTCAAGTGTTTCTCACCTCCCTCCCGCTCTCCGCCCCCACACGAGTGCACTCCTGCTGAATTCTGGGTGTGAACACCAAGGGATTTCACTCTGACTCAACTTTCCATTCTCATGTTTGATAAGATTGACAAAATGAAATACAGTTGGTAATATCCAGCTATATGTTTTAAGTATATCTAAAAGGCTCAATTAGTAGACTAAGGAGATGAAAAACAAATTAACAAAGTATTTTTTCTCATGGAAGAAATCACAGTTGAACCCGCTTGACAAGTGGGTAACTTACAAAGTTTACTATATCCCTGGCACTGTTTTAATTACATCCATGAGCTCCTGTAATACAGCAGCTCACACTTCAAACACAGGGACATTTAAGCATTGAGAGGTCTAGTGACTTGCTCAAAGTTGCAGCCTGCAAAAGGCAGAGACATGTTTTGAATATAAGTAGTGTGACTCCTAAACATGATTATTCACCTCCATGCTGTACTGGGTAAGTGAATCGAAAGTACCCCTGGTATATTTAAAATACAGATATGGTTTACCTTAGATATACCAACCTTGATTAGAGCATAAGTGCTGCTTAAATCAAGATATGCCTGTAGAAACTAGTGCTGTAATTTCAGGACTTCCCCTCTAACTAATGAAGGGCATTTTCTTTGCAAGAGAATTAAGCACAAAATTGTGCAAGGATTGAAATGCTCTCTGAAAACAGGATTACACCCACTTTGGCATGCTGTGTCAAGCACCCAGGGCATAAGGAAAGAAAAGCAGTCAGGAGAATGGTTACACATTCAAATTTGAGCCTCAGCCATATATGTGGGTTGGTTTCCAAATGGACATTTACAGTGGCTTTATGTGGATCAAGTTGATGTTTATTTGCCAAACATGTTATTTAGATCTAAGAAGAAGATGGTGTGACCCCAACTTGCTTCAGGAAAAGGAGGGCCCTGGAGTATTTAATAAACACAGCCTCTAAGAGTTCCTTGATTCTGGGGAAACAGGAGTCTCTCTACTTTTGCAGTAGGTCAACACTGGCACTTGTGGACTGACACCCATTTGCTGTTGCTCTTACTGAGGTTTAGAAATTTACAATGCATTCCTGGTCCTGACTTGGGGAGGGGAGGGAGAAAAAGGGGAGCCAGAGATTATCTTTGTGAAAAAAAATCAAGCTTTTATTACATCATCCAAAGTAGCACAACCTGCTACACTAATGAAATCGTGTTCTTGGTTGAAAAGGGCAATTGTTAGCCTGACTTTGTGCTCACTAAAAACATTCCCCCAATCTTGCTAAATTATTGCTCTCATTTCAGATTTTTATGGCTGTGCAGCTTACCGGCCCTCATTTCTTTACGTTTCATTCATTTTCCTTGTATTGATGATTAATGGAGGATGTCGAATGTTAGAGTGAGCAGGCATCAGCAATTGCAAGATCATAATTAGTTTAGCTGACGAGGGCCTCTGATAGCACTTGCATCTGGATGGAAAAATTACCCTATAGGGAACTGGCTGCTCACCAGGTCTTTTTAGTGATACATTGTGAAACACCCGATGAATCAAATGCCCTTTCAATGCCAAGAAAGTGTTCCAGTCTTGAAGCCAAAATTATGTCTGCAGAAAGCTTTCCATTTGAAATGTATCAGAGCACAATTATAACCATTGTATTTTCTTGGCAAGGATACCAGTCGTCTACAGTATGGACTCAAGTTAAATAAATTGCCTAAATTTTATGAATCCCTGAAATTTTGACTTACAGTATTTGTAATTTTAAATGTATAATAAAATGGGGTTCCAGCAAGATTTTTCCACTCCTTATCTAACATGAGTATTTTATCATTAAAGGCTTTGCTTCCTAGAGAAAGGCAAATGGAGTTGCAATTCAGGCGGCCTCTTTCTGCAGCAAGAGTTCCATTTCCTGCCTGACCGTATTTGCACGCGCGTACAAACACAGCCTGACTTTTGTTTCAATGAGTTTAATGGAATCAGTACTTGATAGCAAGAATGGAACAAGCAGTACTAATTATCTACTTTCAAATATTCTTAGATTATCTCTGAATCTGGTGATTACAGAATGCAGCCCACCAAAATCAATTTGTATTCAGAAATGCTTGTGATTTCCAAGTCTGAGTCAAATAAAATAAATAAATAGCCATTGATGGGACTATGTTGTCTGGCTTAAGCAGGCACCTCATAAGAGTTCTCATTAGTAATACTATACTTCTAGTTGGTGTAAGTTTCTGCTGGTCCTCTCGGCTGCGGGAAATAGAAGGTGCTCACTTTCAGATTTTACTGTTGCAGTCTAAAACCTAAAATCGAGTGCCTCACATTCTTTTAATACTTAGTTTACACGAATGATGTACAGAAAAAAAAGACACAAGTCAGGTTTAACTGTAAGTGGTTTACGTGTTGTATTTATTCCAACCTTGACTGTATTTTAAAGCTCAGGTAGCCTGTGCTCCTCCTTTTCAAAACATTAAACATACTGCCATGCTCTGTCTTTTGACTTTGGTTTTGACACTTTCGAAAGGTATATTTTAGAGTTCAGCGCTTAGGAGCCATCATTAAAGGCACAAAACCCAAAGTTCAAAAAGTTAAAGCTGTTTCTGTGAAAAGCCTTTGGTGTTGCACACACCTCATCCATCACTGTAGGGTTAATTATAATGAAAATCAGTGGTGCCTATTAAACACAATTGAACCTGACCTCATTATGGGCTATGTGGTTTTATACTGTCATTGTTGCTAGTCTAAAGACAAAACTCCTGGGTTGATTTGGTCTAACTCCACAGATCATGTGACTCACCTCTGACCTTGTGTTTCCCCCCTCTCCTCCCCATTTCAGAGGCGTAGAGGCTCGGGTGTTTTTTGTGCCAATTGCTTGACCACAAAGACCTCTCTCTGGCGAAAGAATGCAAATGGCGGATATGTATGCAATGCGTGTGGCCTCTACCAGAAGCTTCACTCGGTAAGAACTTGTTAGACTGCTTCAAGAAAAGTTTTATAAAGCAGCCTGGTCTGTGGTGTGATAAGTACCATTCCCTGGCTTGCAGTGCCTGCCCTTGCAGAGTTTAATACAGTCACTTTGAGGGTACATGTGATTTATGATGCAATGGCCTTAAATGTTATGGGGACATACGTTTGAGATCATTAGGAATGCATTATGCTTCTTGTGATGTAAGAGGAAAATGATTGATTCCTGGGAACTTCGCATAACAGATATGGAATTTGGCACTTGTTGTCTTAGCTACTTTGGGGGCTGGAGGTTGGGCGCATTCAGGAGAGCAGTTCTGACCTAGGACCCAGATGCTTCCAGGGGATATTTTAGTGAGGAATCTGAGCACCCACACAGCACACATAGGAGTAGAGTAAGGTGCAAAGATGCCTCATGTTCTAAGATATCTGGCTGAGGTGCTTCCAGTAATTTCTTTCCAATTATAGTTAGAATTCTATGATGAAATTTAAATTAAAAAATTCCCCCATCTGTATATGCATTTGACTTCCTGAAGGATATATTTTTAGTTTAGAAAGTTTATCTGCTGACAAGAGCTGCCTTTAAAAATAGGAATACACCATTTAGAAAACAGAAATCAATTTCCCTCTGCCTTTTCATTTTGTTTGGCATTTTACCATAGCTCCTAGCACAGCCAATGAATAAATTACAGCTACAGGGAATACAATTTTAGACAAAACGTCCCCATAAATGGACCATTGGAAACACTCTTAAAAAATGCATGCTGTCAACAATACTAATTGGTGGTAAACTGTAAAAACCTGAGTTATTAGCACGTAGCTAGTAGAAATATTCTTCCCACCACCACCACACCACTTTACTTTCTATCAACCTTTACCATTTAAGTGCAGCAATAAGCTTCCATTATAATGAGTAGTGACATTAATGATTATAATTGAATTCTGGCCAATCATAGACCAAGAATTAATTAAACTACTACTCTTCCAGGTTATGATAATTTAACAACTGTGATATAAAATAAACTCTTTCTTTTACAATTATTTTAATATCATCTCTTCAGAAATGAGGTGTTTTTCGTTCTGAGCTTTTTAATTATAAATTTAAATACATAAAGCTTATGCTCACATTTCATGTCAAAGACTGCCACAAAAGTTATGAATGTTTAAAAAAGTTACTAATGCAAATTTCTGGTTCCTTTATAAGTTAGAAATTAAGTAGTGTGTATTTTTATAATATGAATATGAGCCGTTTATGAACATGAACATTCTGAACAATATAAATGCACCTGGCATCTCCAAGGGATGTGGCATTTTCATTCTGGAACCAGTAATTGATTTGTCAATAACAAGTGTGTTATCTTTCTTCCCCTCAAAACACCTTGTGACAAAAGAAACATTCCGAAGAGGATCTATAGTTATATTTTGTTTAATGTATAAAAAGTATTGTCATGCATTAAGATGTATCATCTCTAGAAATAATTCACAAGGTCCATATCACATATATTCATATTTTATATAGAAATAATTTTGGGATCCAGTAATCCTTTAGAAAAATCAGATTTTAGCCCTTTAAACAGTTTTCCTAAATTTTAATCTGTAAATATGTATTAATTTGTTAAAGTTATTCTTTTGATTTTATAAGTCAAAGTTAGAGATCTTACTGCAAGTAAAGTGTTTATTACATATAGTCTTATATATGGATTTTAGTCAAATATAAACACCTGTTGAACATGTACATAGTACCAATCATATAATGCTTAAGCTGAAGTGAATGTCAGCATTCAATTTAAGTACAGATAGAATGCAGATGGGATATTTGAACCAAGGCTACCAGTGCATTAGATTTTCAACAGAAGACAAATGCTCCACCTGTTAACAAATAACATGTTCCATAGTGGTTATATACTATCACAGGAAGACAATTAAAAGTGAGAGGTTATTTTAAAAAAACTCCCACTGATACAGCTTTGATTACCTGATGTTTCCTCATGATTTTGTCAGTTTGTCTTTGATTATTTATGCTCTGATATTTAATATTTTAAGTTCACCAGTGCAGTTATTTAGGAGAATGTGTGTGCTGGTGAGCTCAGGCTGCCATACAGAACAGCATAGATTGAGTGGCTTAAGCAACAGAGATGTATTTTTCACACAGTTCTGGAGGCTGGATGTCTGAGATCAGGGTGCCAGCACAGTCGGGTTCTGGTGAGGGCTCTCTTGCTGGCTTGCAGATGACTACCTCCTCTCTGGGCCTTGATTTCACCTTATGTACCTCCTAAAGACCCTATCTCCAAATACAGTCACCCTGGGAGTTAGAGCCTCAACATGTGAATGGGTGGGGGGGGGTGCACAATTCAGTGTCTAGCAATGTATAATTTTTCCACAGTTGTTATCAAAACCTGTCTCCAACTTACTGTGTTGACATCTTAGGGCATGACTCAAAAGTTGAGAAATATTTCAGAAAAATCACATTTCTTCAAGTAACTTTCTGCACAGTTTTATCACTAAATGATGCAATTCCAAAATCTACTGAGTTTGGAAAAGCTGTTTTCAAGTAGATTAAAGTATTCCGTGTTCCCTGCAAAAATAGACGTGATTTAATTAGGCTAACGGTGCTCTTGGGTTACTCTCTCTGATCCTGCTTAGGGCAAAAGGAGGAGATTTAGTAAATTTATAACAAAAAGCCTATCTTTGCTTTGAACTTAAGCATGGTTTATATTTGTGAGGAATTGTTAATGCATTTTAATGTACTTTTTAATGCTTTTCTTTTATGTATTGTGTGTGTGTGTTCTCTGCAGACTCCCAGGCCTTTGAACATCATTAAACAAAACAACGGTGAGCAGATTATTAGGAGAAGAACAAGAAAGCGCCTTAACCCAGAGGCACTTCAGGCTGAGCAGCTCAGCAAACAACAGAGGGGTGGCAGTGAGGAGCAGGTCAACGGAAGCCCCTTAGAGAGGAGGTCGGAAGATCATTTAACCGAAAGTCACCAGAGAGAAATTCCACTCCCCAGCCTGAGTAAATATGAAGCCCAGGGTTCATTGACTAAAAGCCATCCTGCTCAGCAGCCAGTACTGGTCAGCCAAACTCTGGATATTCACAAAAGGATGCAACCTTTGCACATTCAGATAAAAAGTCCTCAGGAAAGTACTGGAGACCCAGGAAATAGTTCCTCTGTATCTGAAGGGAAAGGAAGTTCCGAGAGAGGCAGTCCCATAGAAAAGTACATGAGACCCGCGAAACACCCAAATTATTCACCACCAGGCAGCCCCATTGAAAAGTACCAGTACCCCCTTTTCGGACTTCCCTTTGTACATAATGACTTCCAGAGTGAAGCTGATTGGCTGCGGTTCTGGAGTAAATATAAGCTCTCCGTTCCTGGGAATCCGCACTACTTGAGTCATGTGCCTGGCCTACCAAATCCTTGCCAAAACTATGTGCCTTATCCCACCTTCAGTCTGCCTCCTCGTTTCTCAGCTGTTGGATCAGACAATGACATTCCTCTAGATTTGGCGATCAAGCATTCCAGACCTGGGCCAACTGCAAATGGTGCCTCCAAGGAGAAAACGAAGGCACCCTCAAATGTAAAAAATGAAGGTCCCTTGAATGTAGTAAAATCAGAGAAAGTTGATAGAAGTACTCAAGATGAACTTTCCACAAAATGTGTGCACTGTGGCATTGTCTTTCTGGATGAAGTGATGTATGCTTTGCATATGAGTTGCCATGGTGACAGTGGGCCTTTCCAGTGCAGCATATGCCAGCATCTTTGCACGGACAAATATGACTTCACAACTCATATCCAGAGGGGCCTGCATAGGAACAATGCACAAGCGGAAAAAAATGGAAAACCTAAAGAGTAAAACCATAGCACTTAGCACAATTAAATAGAAATAGGTTTTCTTGATGGGAATTCAATAGCTTGTAATGTCTTATGAAGACCTATTAAAAATATTACTTCATAGAGCCTGCCTTATCCAACATGAAATTCCCTTCTTTTATTCTTTCTTTTAATGAGTAGGTTACCAAGATTAAAAAGTGAGACAAATGGTCAGTGAGAAAAAAATGGAAGATGGTAAATAGTCATGTTTTAGAACCTATTAAGTCAAAGCCATCTTCACAAACGTATATGGTGGAAACCATCCGTAAGAAGTATCACCAGACTACAATTACTATGTTTGTAAAGAAAGAGATCAAAGCTGTCTAGAATTGGGTAGGGTTTACATGTCATGATGCTAAAGCAGTATTGGGCTGCCCATTGGCCATTTGTTCAAAAAACCTATAAACTGTTTGTTGCCTAAATTTAGAAGACTCGTGAAATGCTAGGCAGACGAGAAACCCGATCTCCAGGGCAGGAAAGGAAAATGGCGCCCTCTTACATCCTTCTCTTCTCATTGACCATGTTTCAGATTTAGACCTAGAAATGTGAGCTGTGGTTAGACTTGGTGAGAGAGCAGCCAGAAAAGTGACAGATGGTGACACAGTGATTTTGGCCAGCCCTGCCTGTACATACACATGCACGCCCTCTCTGGTATTTTTGTCCTTTAGATGTTCGAATAGTCTTTTCAAAAGTAGTCCTTTTGTTTGCAACTTAGGTTCATTTTGTCCAAATATATATGCATTTTTAAAAACAGTGTCCTCAATGCTTACATAGTAATTTTATTTTAGCCAGATCCTTCTTTCTTGTATGTAATGGACCAGTTTGGATTTGTTTTTCACGCCTCCTCTTGGTCACTAATCTCAGTTGGCACATTAGATCGAAAGGGATCCCCTCAGTTCAAAAGATTAGATGGATACAAATGTTCAGATCATGGGCTTAATTTGCTTATAGAACACACGGTATTTCTCCACAAGGTAACCTGCTGTATTTATTTATTTTCTTTCGGTTAAATATAATTTCCAAACTTTGTGGTCAGGCAGCGTCTAAAGTTACGTTACCACAGACTGACAGTTGGTATATTGTATGTACCAGTCAATCCCTTCATTAGATTTATACAGGTTTAGTTAAGTAGCATTAAATAGGATTCTTAGAAGTATGTCTTCATAGTACTTTTAATACTTACGGCTTTGTAAAACTATCCATGAAGGGAAAGCTCCTCAGCATAACTGCTCAGGGAAATAGGGCTAAATAACTGAACATTAAATAATTGGTTAAAGGTGCTGTTAGTCGAGCCTCAATGCTTGCTACAAGGATGTATGTACAAGGACTGACTTTAATAATTTGCATTATATTGTCCCAACCAGTAGTTTATTTTTTGCCACGGAGATGTAGAAGATATTACAAGCTACTGGATGCACTGTCAGATTAACTTATTTCATTAAAGAAGTTGGGAGAACAAATAGGAAAAAAAAACTTATTTTTCTAGTAAATATTAATGTATTACATTTCAAATAATGGTGCCTGACATATTGAATAATTATTTTCTACAGTGTACGTATGCAACAAAGATATTCCATCATGCATTAGAGTCAGTTCTGGCTCTGCCTAGCTGTTTACATTTGCAAATGTAGCAAACAAGGTAATGAAGCAACTATTTCTATTGCAGTAGATATCTTTTTGTGTGTGTGTGCGCGTGCGTGTGTGTGTGTGCGTGCGTGTGCATTAAAGTTGGAAACGTGAAACAAATGAAAGTTCTTGATATAATGGTATGGAAAACAAGAAGGAAATGAAAATATTTTTATGCCTACTTAGGAAAAAAAGGGTAGCACTATTCATTCCAAGTACTTTTTTTTTAATTTTTAAGCTCTTAACTCACATTGTTATGCTTAAAATGATAAACATATATCCTCTTTTTATTGCTTTGTGTTTCAGATGAAACATTTCAGAAATTATTTTGATAAGTGCTGCTGGGATTGCAGCACTGATGTTTTTATTGCATTCTGTAGTCGCATTTGCACTCCATTTTTACATTAACTTACAGTTGGTTTGTATCGTTTTTGTTCCGTTTGGGTTTTGTTTCTTTTCCACAGTGCCAGGTCTTCGTTTCTTAAAGTTGGATGGCAGGTAGAGTTCAACCAGTTCATGACAATTGTAGTGAATGAAGTTTAAAAATGTTCTTCTGATGTTGTGTTGTCATTTCCATTCTTGCATTTTCGTTTTCATGTAAAAAAAAATTCATTTTCATGTTAAAAAACAGAGACAGACATAGAGAGAAATCAGGACTAAGCCTTCAGCTTCAGTTTCGTTTCTAAAGGGCCCTATTCTGATCTCACCTGTCCGGTAGCTCAAATATTTTCATAAACTGAAATAAAGAAGTGGAATGAGGAGCTTTGACCTTCAAACTATGTGATGTGATTTATCTTTATTAGGAATTTTGATGAATGCATCTCAAAATGTACAGGCAGACTTGAGAGGTGGCAATTAAGAATCTATAAAAGAAAGGAGATTTCCCAAACAACTAAACAGTATTTAATTTTCTTAGTAAAAAGACTAGTAACAGTGCACTGTGGCAATCCTCAAGCAACATTAAATGTGGACTGCTCAAATCATCAAAATACCAGAAGTTTGATTAACTTGGGCAATATTACAGGTATGACTTTTTGGGCAAAACTACTCCATAAGCAATTTCTCCATTGTGTCAAACACCAATAGGTTGTTCACTTCTGGCATGTATGCCTTTATTTTCTTTTATCTGATTTTTTTTTCACAGACATAGTAGTAATGATTAGCATTGGAAAATACATATCACTATTCTTGGAATATTTATGATCAGTCTACTTTCAGTAGAATATTCTTGGTTAGCATTGACATGATAGATCTTATTCCGTATTCCTTTATTATTATTTTATTTTCATTTTTGTTTTCATTATTATACATATTTTGATGGAGGAGAGGTTGGGCTTTTTTTAAAAGATGAAAATTTGTTATAACACTAAACAACCCCTTATTTTATGACTTATGAAAGCTTTTGTTCTAGCTCTCAAAATATAAAAATGGTTGGTTTTTATTTTTATTATTTGGTTTTAAGATTTCTAAGACATTTTGTCTTAAACTGTGATTTTTAAATGAGCTATTTAGGTACTTAACCTTTTATGAGGTCTTTAAAGATGATTTAGGTTTTTCCCTTCTTGGGAAAGTCTTCCCTTATGTTGAAAACTGTATGCCAGCTAGCAATGTATGCCATTTAAAAGCTGTCTTTTTAAAAGTCTTCTAAAATTACTTGTCTATATCATGAATTGAGCTTTAGATCAAACGCCAGGCCAGGACCAGCTTACACATTCGCATTCTCAGCTTTCTCACCCTCTTTCTATTCATCTCTCACCGCATTCATACTGTTGTTTGGGATAGACACTTCATAAAGAGCCAGCCCACCTTGGAAGGTTGTGGATTGAGAGACACTAAGTATATGAGAAAAGGACGGGACTCTCAATGTTAACACATTAACTTTGTAGTTCAAGAGGAATAGAGTGTGCCCATTCTTTCTACATGACATATTGAGATGTTCTTTTAAAAAAAATCAGCTTTTAAGGTAGTGATGTTTTGTTCTAAACTGTTCTCTTTTAATAAAGGTAGATTTTAGAAAACAAGCATGGGGGATTCTTTTCTAAGGTAATTACTAATGAGAAGAAGAAAGCGATTATGTTTAACAGCTCTTTGTTGAAGCCTGTGGTAGCACATTGATTGCACATGTGCACATAATCTATTATGATCCGGTGCAAATACAGCTCCAAAAATATTAAATGTATATATATTTTAAAATGCCTGAGGATATATGTTTTTCTTAATAAATTGATATCGATACTGCTATTAAAATCATTATTAGCCTCCTGCTGTGTGGATGCAGAATATCAGAAGGTGACCTGTCTTGAATCCTTGGAACTGCCTGCCTGTTCAGTCAGTGAACATTAATACAATCCTAGAGGGGAAGTACATGTCATCCTGCTGTGGAAGCGTGGAGTCAAGAAGCTGGTGGTCAGCTCTCCTGTGCTCTGTGCCAGCCTTTTGCCCAAAGTTTACATGACCTCACAGCTTCCTGTCTTTGAGTTAAGGGCCACAGCAAAAGAAACCCAAGTCATCTTTGGTGATCAAGTAGGTCAAAACTTGGTGACTGTCCTAGATCACAGGAGAACATGGAGGAACTGAAATTCGACCCGAATATGAAACTAAATATGCTAACCAAAGGTAGGTACTAGTAGGTGGAATTCTATCATCAGGCAATTGTAAATGAGAAGAGGATAGAAAAACATGCTTCGGGACTTGGAAGGGCTGTGTTATTTTCCCAAAGAAAGACTTGGCCAAGGGCAAAGGGGATGGCTTCTTTGAAGAACACTTCCTTTTGGTTTTCCATCACTGTTTCATAGACAGCGGACTCACACGTTGCTGATAGTGGTGCAGTTGTTCAGATAGCACTTGTGGCTATTTGCAGTAATTAGGGCCTCGGAAGATGCTAGGTCACAAGTGTGTGTCAAGTCAGGGATGAAGGAAATGTGAAATTCAACCCAGACATGGAAACTGAATGACGTGCGCTCATGTGTCACTCTTTGGAAAGTAAAGGTAGAGCTGTCAGCTCCACTCCATCCTACAGCAGAGTAAAGCGAGGGTGGCTGTACATGGAAGTGAGGTTTACCCTTCATCAGAGGAAATGGTCCTTCAAAACTGGTTCCTGATTTCACCCCTGGTTAATTTTCATTATGTGACCTGCAGCGAATCACTTTTTCTTCTTGTTCCTCAGGTTCCTCACCTGTAAAATGGAAAAAAATATATTAATAATAATAATAATATTAATAATAATAATGGTAATGTAGTACTTATTTGTAAAGCACTTTGAGATCCTTGGTTGAAAGGCACTGTGGGAGTGCCAAGTATTATTTTATGGCCAAGGGGCTTATTTAAACTCTCAGTTCCCAAGGGCCAGGAGAGGTTGGGGTCATTTTTGTTAAGGATGAGCTGTAAATATCATATCCAGAAAGCCTATAGTGTTGACTCTAAGAAGCAAAACTTTCACAAGGCTGATAAAAACCATAGTTTCTTAATGGCTACCAACAGGCAAATACCACAATAAGAGATGCCAAATTCCTTTGGGTAGACTATTTGACAACATGGATAATTTTGGTGGGTGGGATGAGGGTGGGAAACATCTCAAAATGCCAATGTAAAATTAACTTACAGCAATATTCACCAGCAGAAAATGTCTTTCGTATGGAATGATTTCATGTCGCTAAGAAAAAAAATTCAATTTGTAGTCCTGATTGAATATTAGAATGTTGGCTATAATAGTTCTGTTCTTACAACACATGGAATTTTTTTTCGTTTTATTTAATTTTGTTTTCATAGTGCATGTTCATTTCTACTCACAAACATGTTCTTGGTGTATTTCTTATGCAAACAATCTTCAGGCAGCAAAGATGTCTGTTACATCTAAACTTGAATAATAAAGTTTTACCACCAGTTATACATAATGGCGTTGGTATGGTTTATATGGATTCACATTCTATCCATGTAAGAATAGGAAATACAGACCCATGTAACATATAAGCAGGCTCTGTTGAATTATGATGGTGAAATCAAATCACCATTTTCAAGACTATGACTAAGGTTGGAAAAGCCTAGATTCTCTCAATTTGCTTTGATTTTTTTTTTTCTTTAACCAATCAGTCTCTTACTGGTAGATTTTTGTCTAAAAAAAGTTATACTAGTTTCTTTAGGAAGATTAACAATAAAAATTGTGTTTACTTTAAAATATTGAGTATCAAATACTGAGTGTTGAGTACTGGGTATGATTATGTTATGTGCAAAAACTCCTACGTTTGAAGTTTAACTTTGATGCAGTTCCATATACTTACATGAGTATTTAATGATGATCCTGATCAACTAACTATCTCAAGAAGTTTATATTAATATATTATATGCCTTGTTTTGCCTGAAATAGAATTAATCAGAGCAGGTTTTCTGAGGACTGATTTTGAAAGAGGGAGAGACAGAAGAAATACAGCTAGGAAATGGACACAGGAAGACTCACCCAAGTGTTTTTTAAGCAGAAGGAAAAACATAAAAAGGACAGGATGAAAAACATAAATATCTCATTGCTTTAGAGGACTTGTTTTCACAATTTTCAAATTAATTACTACCTGCCTTCCTTGAAAAATCTTCACTTCTCATTTTTATGAACCTAAATTAACAAATTCTTTAGTTTTTTCTAGGTCTTCTCCTTTGTTTTGAAAACAGCAGAGTAGAGACTTTTGTAGGGCTTTCCTAATGGTAATAAGCTTGGTTCCCAGCTGGGGAAAACATTGTCTAAATAAGAGTTCAGTAATAATAATGTGATTTCTCTTCCTGAGATGGAACTTGACTCTTCTATCAGGGACCACTTTTCAGCTAAAGTTGAATACACTTTGTTCTCACCCAGAACTGTCAGAATCCCACTTAAGGAGAAATAGGTAGCCATCAGCCATTTGTCATTGTTGGAGGGAAGGGAAGGGTGAGCCACGTCTGTCACGCCATCGTCACCTTTCCATCTCCCATCTGGGGGTGGGGGCGGGGTAGAGCAGGGGTCAGACACTCAGCTGCATAAAAGGAGCAGGCAGGTAACCTGTGAGGGGGAAGCCAGCTGCGTGCAGCCCCGGGAACTAGAGGACTCAATAAAGGTAGCGTTTCCTGGGCTCTGAGGAACATTGCCAAGCTGACCTGTGGTCCAGGTTTTCAGTTTTCAAGAAAAAACGTACAAAGGGAATTTTATATGAAATCTAATGTTAAATGTCAGTGGCTGACTTTTTTTAAAAAAAAAATAGTGCAAGCTAAGCAAACCATTTGTTAGAATTAATTCCACGCCTAGACAGAATGTGACCCCTGGAGCCTGAACAATAGTGAACTCTGGTAACTAGCAGGGAGGAAATTGGGCAAAGGGTTGAGGCGAGCTGTGGTTCCTCTGTTTTGTCTCAGGTCCCACTGCACCTCCGGCTCTGCCAGGAAGCTCGAAAGTACTGCAGTGGCCACAGCACCTGCCCGATTCTTTCAGAGCCAAATTTGCCTAAAATGAAAAGCATTTGTGCAGAAGAGAAATAAGCCCTAGTTTTTTACCATACTGCTAATGACTGCATTTTTCTTTTCCATCTTAACTCCAGGTACATTTTTTTCTTTCTTTTAACTTTGTTTGAACAAAGAAATGCAAAAACTACGAAAAAGTAGCCAAAGTTAATGTCCACTGCTGTCCACAAAGATGTCTTATATCCCATTCCATGTAATAGTTGAGAATGAAAATAACAAAGGTAGAAAAAGTGAAGCATAGCAATAGATGGGAAGGGAAGGGCTTTTGCATAATATGGTTGATCTCTTTAATGAATAAATTTCTTTAAATAAAAATAAGTAATTTCTATAATGAAAACTTATTGCTAGTTTGATAGTACTGTTCTTCAATATATCCAGGATGTTGGGAATCTGAAAGTTATTCGTTCATGAATATTACAGTGTTTATATAAAATACATCATTTGAGGTTACAAAGGTTCTCTCAACTTTCTGCTTAATAACAAGAACAACAAACTAACAAATACTAATTTTTTCTTCAGGTAAGCAGTAGAGACTGAGATAGCAAGGGTTATTATTATTAGAAAGAAATATAATAGAAATTATTTCAATTATTTCCATAATAGAAGGTGAATTTCCAAATTAAAGCTGCATAAGCATTACACTGTAAGCAGTTTCCCAGGAATTTTTATGAAACTCAAAACCCACAAATACATCACAGACTTTTTCTCAGAATATGTACCTCTCTTACATGAAAGCAATGTCTGTCCTCAAATTTATACATTTGTTAGTTTTTAGGGTTAGTGCATACACAACCATTGGTACTTTCTTCAGAGCTGAAGTTTCCTTAGATACTCTCTTTCTGCATAGCATGTGGTTACCCAAAGAATCAATGTATCCTAAAAAGCATATGTAAACCAGTGAGTTTACAAAGCTCAATTCAATATCATTAAGATGCTTTGTTTCCTATAATTTTATTTCTTACAATTGCCTGGATGATTTTTTTTCTCTAGTGAAGTTATTATTGCCATTATTATTTATTTATTCTTTTTGCTGGTAATGCCATGTAGTACAAACCCAGGCTTCATGCATTCATCCAACAGACATTAATTGAGGATTTATGTACCAGGCACTATTCCAGGCATTTGGGCTGTGTCAATGAAAGAAAGCAGACGAAAACTCCTATTTACATGGAAGGGACACAGTAAAGAAAGGCAGGCAACAAACATATAGAAAGAACATTTCATATTAGAAGGTGATAAGTACTCTGGAGACAAAGTAAAGCAGCGGTAAAGGAATGAAGGGTGTGCATGATATATTCAGTAGGTGAAATAGCCCTACAGCTCTCATCTGAGCCAAGACTTGGAGGAGAAACTGGCGGAGTGAACAGCCAGTGCAGTGGCCCCAAGGTGAGACAGTGAACCTGGTAACTTTGCTAAGTAGCAAGGAAGCCAGTGTGTCTGCGGCAGGGGAAACCAGGGGGAGAGTATTCAGAAATTAATGACAGACAAAAGCATCGAGGTGGGAGAAAATCAGCTCATTTAGAGGATATTTTAGGCTGTTTTGAGGATTGTGGCATTTATATGTCTCAAGCGGGGAAGTGTTTTAGTATTTTGAGCAGGGGAGTGTTGTTTGATTTATGCTTTACTGTTGCCATTCTCTTCTGTTCTCAGAATAAATCATGGGAGGTGAGGATGCAAGGACAGAAGCAAGAAAACCAGGTTGGAAGCTAATTTAGTCATTTCTGCACAAGAGAGGAAAGAAGCAGAAAAGCAGTTAAAATCCCAGAGATCATTTTGGAAGTAGAACAGACTAGATTGCCTGGATGTAGGGTGTGAGAGAAAGAGAAGAGTACATTTGGAAGAGTACATTTGATGGATCAGATCTGGAGTGGGGAAGGAAGGGAGTTAAACTTGGGACAAGCTGTATTTAAGATCCACATAGAAAGGTCAACTAGACTGTTAGATCTATGAGTTGGGAGTTGGAAATTGGGTAAGCATTAGCATATAGATGTTATTTAAAAATCATGAAACTGGCTGTGATGAATCTAGGAAGTGAAAGTTAAGGAAGAAAATACATTCAATATTTGAAATCAGGGAAATGAGACACTAGCAAAAGAAATCAAGGAGGAAGGATCCTATGAGTTAGAAGGAAAACCAAGAGATTAAGAGGTATCTGGGAAGCCCAAGAAAAACAAAAATGTATCACAAAGCAGGGGGTGATTGACCTTAGGAGATACTGTTAATAGGTCAAGTTGAATGAATACACAGGATTGGTCATTAGCTTTAGCAACATAAGGTTATCAGCAGAGTGGACTATATAATTTGTGGGGCCTTGAGCAAGTTGAAGAGGCCCCTTGTTCAAAAATTAAGAATTTCAGGATGGTGACATTAGAGCATTCAATCAAGTTTATGAACCTTATTTAGGTCTTTAGGACAGGTTACATGCCCATGAAGCTGGCCCAAGTGAACACTCTGTTGGCAAGAGCAACAACTAAAGTTTCAGAAAATAATCCTAAATTATGCCGTAGAGAAGGCCTTAATCATTGTATAGGACAGAGGAGAAAATAGCGGGCATGATGAGCTCTACTAGGTGAGCAGGTGAATGGACATAGGTTCTTATGCCCAAGTGGAGAGGATGGCTGTAGAAAAGAAACCAGTAACTCACATTCATTGTCACAGCAAAGCAGAACGTGTAGACACAGATGTTGCTACATGTGTGGATTTGATGATGGAATTCCGGAAAGCTCTATTTTCTTAATGAAGTGCTTTTCTTGTGGCACTACTCTTCTGCTTATTACTCCATTCAGAACTCCAAAGACTCCATTCAGCAACAAAGCAATTTATACATTAAATAAGTCAGTATGGTTTCATTATATCCCAGTGGGACTTTGATATTTAGATAAAGTTAGAAAACTGTCACTTGACTGAAGATGGTATTGGAATCTCACTTTAAAAATTGCTTCTGTAAAAGTCTCCCCCAACATACTCATTTTGTTTAGTCTGTTCAAAGCATTATTTTTCATTTTCTTAATTATATTTTTAAAAAAGCAACATGCACTTTATTATGCTAATAACACCACAGGAAGTAAAGCATTCTTAGTCTCTTTTAATACCATCTTGCAAATTCCTGAAAATAACATCCAATAAAATGCAGGTTTTTGCTGCTTCACTTGTGATTGTGATTGATCTGAGTGAATTCATGTTCATGAGTACTGATTCTGAGCTCAGAATTGTGTAAGAACAGGAAAAGACATAAAAGAGCTAAAATTTGGTGCACACTCAAGTTATCCCCAAATGTACAGCCAATTAAGTTATAAGATTGCTTAGTTAAAAATCTTTTCTCATTTGGGATTATTTTCTGAAACTTTACTTGTTGCATTTCATTTCATTCATTTTAGCACCCTTGACAAAAGGTCTTCCCATTATAATTA